GGTCATTCTCTCTCTTCCATACGAGCGCTACATAAAACACTGTGACTTCAGTTAGTGTTCGCATGGATTGCTTAATATAGTATTTGATTGATAGCACTTTGATGAACACCAGTGCCTCTCTCTCTCTCTCTCTCTCTCTCTCTCTCGCACTCGCATATGATATATAAAAACACTCAAAATTTTGGGAAATCGTATGAGTAAGAGATGGCTAACAGTTTGCGTATTCAAGAAAACCTCGTATCAAAAAACAACTGCCATTTCGAGCATAAATATAGAGGTTTTAAAAAAATATTTTTCCAAAAGTATACACTTTGGGAGCAAATCATTAATCGCTCTCTTTTTTAGGCGAAAGATTTTTCAATTTTCAGTCATTCCTATTGTATTTAGAATCCATTTTTTCGTCACTCAAACTAATTATATATTTTATTCCGAAATTAAACAAAACTTTTGCGCATTGAGTGTATATATTGAAAGTGTTAGTCAGTATTGATAATAACTGAGTAGTAGTTAAGCACTCAACGCATTGCACCGAAAAATGCTTTGTTTTTAATTTTTAGTCTTTTTGTTAAATTATAACTCAAAAGTTGAGTACTTTTAATGCTTTTCTATATTTATTTCTAACAAATCTTGAGTCTCTACTCATTTGTCTCTCTCTCTCTCTCTCTCTCTCTCTCTCTCTCTCTCTCTTCGTTGGAGAGTAGAGTATAGTAATGCCCAGAATGGGGCAAATTTGTCAGTAAATGCATTTAATGGCGATAATCAAAGGAATGAAAAAACATTGATTTCATCGCATCAATGAAAACGAAACAAATGCTATGAAATTGAGAGTAACTATAAGTTTGGATTGAGTAGAGTTGGGCCCACACTCTCTCCCCATACCCTTTCCCTCTAACAATATTAGATGTATAGCACATGTATAGCACACTAGCACTCAATCATTTGACGAAAAATCAATTAGAAATAAGTCTATAACTATCAGCGCTTCTCTTATTGCCTTTCACTTGACTTCACTTCACAACCAAAAGCACTGATACTATGAGTTAGTATTTAAGGACTTCAATAAAATGAAAAACAAAATTTTAAGTTAGACTTCAATTTTTTCTCACAACAACTTATAATAATGTTTTAATGTTTGTTTGAATTGCAGTTCTTTGAACTCAGCATTTAATGTTCAAAACACTATTCAAACACTATTTAGTAATTTATAAAAAACAATAGACATTTATATTTCATTTATAGTATTTCTTTCATGCATTAAAAGTAACGACACATTCAATACATTTTTCGTAATGAATTGTTTGTTAAATATTTGCCCTCAACTTATCTAATGATTGCAAAATTTATCGTAAATGTTCTCCAATTAATACAAACACTTTATTTCATATTTATTTCATCGACTAATTCATTGAGATTTAGTTTAGATTATATATTATATAGTAATAAAGTATAACTACATATTTAACACCTGTTTATATCATAAGACTATGAGATAACCGCAAAATGCTGTGAACAGATTTTATTGTTGTGTCGTATATATGAATGGCTTGTATTTACAATTATAGTTAACGCCAAATAGTTTTTATGAAAATAATGACAATTTGTTTGACTTTTATTACCAGTCATTAAGTTTTTGATATAACTTTTCAACAAAACCACTCCTCAAAGCAATAACTGTTGAAAATTATGATTACAAGCGATTCTAATGTCGTTTTAAAAAATAGTAATTTCACTTTTAATTAAATATAACTTTTAAATTGATTAGAAATATTGCTAATGAAATATAGGTTACTGTGAAATACTAATACCGATAAATATATGAAAATTTGCTCATTTGAAAGTCAAAACAGTCGAGAATTTGAACGCAAAAAATACATGTTATTATTCTGTGATTCAAATTATTTTTCGATAATATTTTTATCATTGAATCAAATTTATTAATTTGATTGAAAAAACACAAAATGCACTGCAATTAACGTTATGAATGCGTAACGAAGGGAATGACGTTTCCATAGAGATATGTATTATAAGTTTTTTATTCGTGTTTCTCATTCACTGTTCACTACTTTTTTGCCCCTAAAAATAGTTTCTTTCTATTGTTTTTAATATAAAAGTAATTATATTTAATAAAAATTCTCTCATGTCTTACACTTAACTAATAGGAAATTATTTGCCAGACTTTTCATAAGTCGATAATTTATTGGCAATCATTTCGTGGCATCGATTATAAAGAAAAGTATTTCATTTGACTGAATATTATTAATACAGAAAAAAGTAAAATATATTCTGTATATTTCAAAGATATGATATCATGCAAACTGTTTATGCATTATTTGATATCCAAAACAGTTTCACTACAACTACTCATTTTATTTAGCCTTTCAAATACACTCAATACATGAGTGAGAGTGAGTGAGACAGAGTGGGAGAGAGACTGACATAAAGCTAAAAGTGTTGTAATAATAGGCGAGAGAGTATGTATGCTATTGTTTGTGACATTTATTAGTGCCTCAAACCGTCAATTATTGAGAAGACGATAATACGTGGTATTAAAGTCCAACATATTTTTTCTTGTATCAGAAAAAATGTTTTTTAAACATAACTACAACTTTGAAGTATGCAATTTTGTGTTATGCATATGAATATAATAAATGCATAGAAATGTTTGTTTCTTACGATTGCATATTAAAAGTCACACAATCTTTAGTATTACTCTCGGAGTAAATAAGAAGTTTGAGACAAACTTTTTATTTTGAAACATAAAAACTCGTATTAAATATGGTTTAGTTCTCACATGAAATTATTGGCACAAAAAGAATATATTATTCTAATTTCAAATTCAGTAAAGAATTGGATGTATTTTTTTCATTCCTGTTGTTTAGCTTTAAGAGTACAATATATATGTCGCTTATTATACACTATCGTCAACACTGGTGGGCATATAATATATTTAATTTTTGGTTTTTATATCAAAAATTATTGCTGGCATTCATTCGTGTGAATAGAGGAGAATGTTTTTTGTCAAACTTTTAAAATGAAAACTTTATATCAGTTCTTCTATGATATGAAATGCAATACATTTGTGTATATCAACTGATTTGAAACTCAATTTCTCTTCCACTTGTTCTTTGCCTTACATTTACAAACAAATGATAAGATTGTTATATAAAAAATGCATTTTTATAAACCTATCCATCAGTTTATGAACTAATGGAGAAATGGTTGAGAAAATAGCAAATATAAGAAATACGCTAAATAAATATTGAAAACATTAATTATGAATTGCTTTATTTGCCGATCAAATGATCAATCATTTCGATTAAATATAAAATACAAATATAATTGCAAAATAATTTTTAAGTTTAATTCAAAACTAAAACATAGTTTTGCTTAAGATTATAGCTTTGATGGCATTGTATGCTATTTTGATGCAAAAATTGTGGAAAATTATGCATTTTATGTTATATATAATAAGCGATTTGCAAACTTTTTTCTCACTCGACTCTACTCTACACTTAACTGAGTGTTTTGGTACAGTGTTTGAGAGAAACACTGTATATTAGTTATGCAAAAAAAATTTGGTCCAAAACTGTAGAACTTATACACAAATACTATACTCTCTAAACATCAACAGATTTTGAGACCAAACTCTTCTTTCGTCTAATGGTTTCGATATAAAGCGCACAAAAGTTTGGCTCAAAAGAGAGTATGAGAGAGATGTGAGAGTAAGTGTTGGATAAGGGGAAGAGAGACCGGTGTTTGCTGTGCATAGAGTACTGTATCACAGATGTTGCCATAAAGCCAATCAAATGTCGATCAGAATTGAGAGGCATATAAGGCATGCAAAGAGTATTAGAAGGGGACCAACACTCTCAACAAAAACCTAAACTTCTCTCATATATATGGTATATATCGGGTATAGTGTGTACGCAATCTTTGCCAAACAGTGTAACAGCATTAGCGCCGGTATTCACAACAGTGCAGTTATGCACAAAACACTCTCTCAGATATGACTAACTTTGTTGCCATCACTGGTATTATAAGAAGAAGTTTAAGTGAGAGATGAGAGAAAATATTGTGCTTAGAGTTGTTAGAGTTGATGATCAGACGTAATGTCGACCCAAAAACTATAGCACCGGTCAATGGAAAGGCAAACTTTCTTCTCGCGATTGAATGTCACACCAGCTGTCAGTTTGTGACCATTTATTCACTTTAATACAAGAGATTGCATTTTCTCTCCCTATTTATTGGGCGCTAATTATTGCCTAAAACTCTCTTCACTTTATTAACAAATTTTGTTTTGCCATTCAATTAATTCAATCGAAAAGATTTGCGTCAAAATGTATTTTTATCGACATATTATTACATAAAAATACTAATTAATGGAAAATATAGTTCCCAAACAATAATGAGCTGCAAAAATGAGGGCAAATTATAATAGGGTAGAGACGAGCATATAATATGCATCGATATATAGGGAATGGGATCGATGTTTGAAGGAATTCCTCTGAAAATCTATAAAATGGATCGTTTAATGTTGTGTTCACTTAATTCGCTGATATTGTTGTGGTTTTGCCTTATTTTTTGCTATTCATTGAGCAGCGAATGTAATGCACAAAAATCGACATTTACTTAAGTCAATACTAAATTGGATTAAAGCTTAAGTATTCACTAATGCTTTCAAAATAATAGTTGACAACAATTGGCTTCAAGTAGTGATGCTTTTGATAAAAAATTGATATTTATTTTTCATAGTTTCGCATAGAAATGCTTTTACATGTAGTGTTCAATGAAATGCTGATATCTATTGTAGTGATTGCTGTGATTAGAGAAAGTAGTTGTTTAGACAAAAGTTTAATTTCCATTTCCATCGGAACGGATGGGATTATATGGAAAGCAAACAAAATCCAAAAAAATGAAATATTTTGACCCCAAAAAACAATTGATTGACTGATGATTGAGAGACGCAATCCTCTCTTTGTTGTCCCGTTGCAGAGAAAGAGATGAGGGCTACGAGTGCTACCAATGCCAATACGGGCTGCGCTAACACTGCGCCAAATGGTGACAAACTTCTTCAGACAGAACCTCACAAACAATTTAATGCATTCAATGATGGCATCAAAGAGTCGGCAGCAGTGGTGAGGGAGAAGCGCTCGCAAAGGGGACAACAACAGTACTTTCATTATCAGTACGAACCATACAATCGGTCTAATTATTACACACCGGGAACTGCCGGCTCTGAACAGCCGTTTATGTGAGTTGTGACAAAAAAACATAAGTCTCTCTCTCCTCTCTCTTACTTCTCTCTATTTAATAATACAATTAGCAGTAGAGTTGCCAGCATTTAGACTACTGTAGTAGAGGCAGGCAGTAGTAGACAAACCAGTAGTACTTCATCCACAACAACAAAAAACATTCAAATCATTTCTATGGGATTGCGTCTCGACTTCGATGCTAAATAGGGATCAGATAATTACAAATGGGATTACAGTCTTAGTCTTTAATTTCCTTTTTCTAACCATTCAAATAAACTCTCAAAAAAGAAAGACTAAATCATTAGTTTTGAAATTATAGTTTATTCAGCGTTATTCTCGTTATTACAGTTTTATTGAACACATATTACAAAGTTACACAGATAATAGTTTATACTACACACACATAGAGTATATTTTTATATCGAAAGAGCTAAATAATCAATTAAGAATTCACACATACATGTATCGTTTTAAACTAGTTGTATTTCACGTGATAATTAGGCATTTGAGTATAGATTTAAATTCTTGCTAAAGATTAGAAAACAAAGCAAACAATTAAGAAATGGTTTTAAATAAAGTCTATAAAAACATTAACTTTTTTGACAACAAAAAGTTAATTATATTAAGGAATTAACTGATATCAAGAGTTAATTACGTGAAACTGTTAAGAAACTAATTAATCTAATTCTCGCTAACTTAACCATTTTGCTTTTCCTCACTAACACACAAAATTATTAATAAATTATTTCGACATCTCTTTAGCATTTATAATGAAAGGAGAGTTTTAAAAAACACACAGTTTTTCTGATATAAAAGTTATACTAAACATTAATTAAAAAATTTGTGGGCAAAAGCATAGCTTCGAGAACAAAATACTGTTGAAAAATAGAGAATTTTTTCCATACAATAAATAAAAGCTTTTTAAATATTTTCTGATTTTTAAGCGGCGAATATAGCAGTAGTGAATGGATTTCCTCGACACAGACGCCAATAGATATCGGTATGTATTCCTCTGGAAGTTAATAGAAAATACTGTTAAATGTTTTTTAGATTGACTGACATTTAGAGAGTTTTTTTGTAAATTTTGTGAAAAACAATGTTTGGAAACTCATTAACAGAGAAATGCTCATTAAGTGTATGTCTATAATAAATATACAACAAAAAATGCTTTCAATATATAAAGCATTAATTATTTAAATAATGATAATTTTTCCATTAAAATCTGACACTTTTTAATGGATTTTCTGTTCGTATGAATTGAATTAAGTGTGATTTTTTGGACTCAAATTTAAATCTATAAAACGATCCAAACTTTTTTTAACATCATATACAGTAAACTATGCGATATTTGTGTTCAGATCTATGTATGTATGTATTGGATGACAACCAGTGACTGGAAAATGGTTTTGCATTTTGTAATTACCCCTAAAATCTATGCAATTTGTTTGAGCACTTGATGACGAATATTTAATTACGAAAACTTTTAAGATCTGTGTTTTGAGACACACTTTTTACACTTCTTTGCACAACGATTTGACTGTATATAACATAATGTATTAATCTTTAGGAATAAGTAAAAAAAATATTTCCATTTCGCTTGAATTGCTGACATCACTTCAAAAACTACTTATAATTTTTTATTCATATAAGTTTAATATGAATTATGTTTAGAAAAATATTTTTTCATTGAATAATATAATAAGTAAAAGAGAGATAAATTGATTTTAATGCCGAAGCAGTCGTTTCGATGACTTTTATACAAATTCTTGAACTTTTTAAAAATGATGTCTTTTCTGGTGTTACGCCGATTGCAATGATATAACACTTCATTCATAGGCCTAATCATGTGTTAAGAAATGATTACGTTTTGCAGATAATATCTGATGGTGAATTATGATGGGAAACACTGCTCAACATAAGCACTGATGGCTAACAGAGATGCCACTCATGATAGTCAGGAGAGAGAGAGAGAGAGAAGAGAGAGAGATTAGTAGAGAGAAAAGAAGGATCTTATATGAATAAAAAATTATAAGTAGTTTTTGAAGTGATGTCAGCAATTCAAGCGAAATGGAAATATTTTTTTACTTATTCCTAAAGAGAGAGAGAGAGAGAGTCAATGAAAAGGGGGAAAGAGAGCCCGAATGATAAAAACCGAAATACTTGTAATACTTGTTTATTGATTAATGTGGGACTCCGGCAGATGTGACTCTTTCTCCACTTTTGTTTCAGTTTCCTCTCGCTATTGAAAGAACAATATATTTCTCAATACAATTCGTCGGTTAATACTGTTATACCAATACTTTGTGTATCAAATATAGAAACATTTGTTCGCTTTTATATGTATTTCTAAATCCACTTAAAGTGTTTGGAAACTTTTTTACAATATTTTTCATGCATTTACAGCCTCTCCCCATAACGACCACAAAAACTAGTCCTAAAAGCGATTAAATGAAAGGCAGAAAATATGTATAAAACACACCATTTATAAGATAATAATGCGAACACTTTATAAGTCGACCCTTACATGCAATCATCCATAAAAACTAGCTGATATTTTACAGTCAAATCAATTATATTTATTACATCTGAAAATGTTTACAACATTTATTTGGTTTATTCTTTTGACTTATGTTTTAAATCACAATTCATATATAGTTTTATATACTTATGGCATAAATATTCGTGAATAGACTGAACAGTAGTCACACAAAAGAGTTGTTTTGTTGTATAATTTGATGAGTTTTGAATAAAATTAGTGCATTTATTGAATGCATTGAAAAGAGATGTGCATTTATAGGAAGCTATCAATTTTTTTCGTCGGTTAATACTGTTATACCAATACTTTGTGTATCAAATATAGAAACATTTGTTCGCTTTTATATGTATTTCTAAATCCACTTAAAGTGTTTGGAAACTTTTTTACAATATTTTTCATGCATTTACAGCCTCTCCCCATAACGACCACAAAAACTAGTCCTAAAAGCGATTAAATGAAAGGCAGAAAATATGTATAAAACACACTATTTATAAGATAATAATGCGAACACTTTATAAGTCGACCCATACATGCAATCGTCCATAAAAACTCGCTGATATTTTACAGTCAAATCAATTATATTTATTACATCTGAAAATGTTTACAACATTTATTTGGTTTATTCTTTTGACTTTTGTTTCAAATCACAATTCATATATAGTTTTATATACTTATGGCATAAATATTCGTCAATAGACTGAACAGTAGTCACACAAAAGAGTTGTTTTGTTGTATAATTTGATGAGTTTTGAATAAAATTAGTGCATTTATTGAATGCATTGAAAAGAGATGTGCATTTATAGGAAGCTATCAATTTTGTTTGATAGCACTTCGTTATAACGCTTGAATAGTTCATTACATTTAAGTAGACATACTATTTGACTATTTGATGCCCTTTTCCACTCTCTTGCTCTCTCTGTATCACAATATGGGCTCCGATTTTCAATTACCAAAAGAAAAAGCAAATAAAGTTTGCATAAAGTGTTGGCTCAAAGTTGGAAATAATTTAATTCACTTCAATTCGACTCATTTATCTGCAGTTTTGCTAAATTTAAGACTCGTATAGACTTTTGTATACAATCTCATAAGACAACTCATTAAAGCAAAGACAGCCTAAACTTAAGCACTTTATTTGACAAACGCTTTAAATGTATCGCAACTGATATTTTTTTCTACACACGGTTTACAGTGCAGTGTCTATCTCTATGTTATGATACCAGTGCTGTGTATATAATATATATGTTGTAATCTTTGTACCAAAATTAATAGATTGTTTAACGAACTGCAAAAACTGTTCCGCTTTTAGTTTGCTATAGTATTAGACGATAGTATAGCCCATCGCTATAGCTATGAGCTAAATATCCTTCTCCGTTGATTGAGAAGTTATGCCTCTCCCGTGCCTTACAGTGCCCTACAGTTTACTACCAATTCCTACCACTCTTTCACTGTTTCTTTAGCTCTCCTTCTTTTCTCTCTACTAATCTCTCGCTCTTCAGGAGAACATAATTCCCATTCCTATAACTCAATCAACTCTCGACTCAAATGCACACAAAAATATCACTTGAGATTCAGTCTTGAAGTGACTCTAAATTTGATCGTATGTTATGTACGGAATTGAAAAATACTAATTAATAATTTGATTTCCTATGTGTAATGCATTCATTGTTTTTGCTTTAATAATAAGCCGTCGGTAACTGGAGTCAAGATTTGTGTTTAATATATAACACACTCTCTTATAAAAATGTTTAATTGAATTTCAACACAAAAACCTTTTTCCCTTTAATTTAACAAAAATTTTCTCTCAATAACTGTGTTATTCTTGAATGTGATTTGATTTAATAAATTATATTTATATTTAATTTAACAAATACTTAGACATAATTTAATTTTATTCTTAAATTCTGGCGCTAAATAAACAGCAGAATATAAAATCAATTTTAATATATATTTTTATTATTTCCCTTAAAAGATATTAATTGAACTCAAATGTCAATAAATTTATAATTCAATCGCATATTTGGAAAACAGAAATCCGTAAATGATATACAAAACCGGTCATTATTTTTGTGAATAAATGTTTTATTTTTGTTGTTTTCTTATATTATAAATTCAGAATATTCTGTGACATAATGTGATGTGAAAGCAATTTATTTTTTATGTTATAATCGGTCGCATGTTTTGTGTTCATTATATATGTGTTGAAACAATAGAAAAGTGAATCTAATAGTAAGTAATGCATTCAGTCTATCATCAAAGATAATTAGCGATAAAAAGTGTTAAGCAATGGTAGCGCTGATAACGGTGTGCCATATCTTAAGCCCTAAACCGAAATGTTTTTTATATAAGTTAATGATGTGTTCAATGTCTGCATGAAATGTAAATCTTTGCGAACGAGAAAATAATACATTGCATGTAATGCATGGCTGGCAACAAGTCTTAACACAAACTATTTTTCAGATCTAATTAA